ATATAAGTACTATATCATTAATAATATATATAATATAATATATCATAAATAATATATATAATATAATATATCATAAATAATATATATAATATAATATATTATAAATAATATATATAATATATCATAAATAATATATATAATTTAGTATATCATAAATAATATATATAATATAATATATCATAAATAATATATAAAATATAGTATATCATAAATAATATATATAATATAATATATCATAAATAATATATATATAATATAATATATCATAAATAATATATATAATATAATATATCATAAATAATATATATAATATAATATAAATATATATTATAATATAATATAGAATATAATATAATATACAATATAATATAATATAATATAATATATAATATAATATAATATAGAATATAATATAATATACAATATAATATAATTTACAATATAATATACAATATAATATATAATATAATATAATATAATAAAATCTTATAATATAATATAAAATAATATATATTATATGGTATGGTATATTATATTATACCATATAAAAAAAGTAGTATAATATAAAAAGTGTTATAATATAATAATAATACGATGTCATACATAAAACAATATTTATAAAGTAATATAATATATAAAATAATATATATAAAGTAATAAAATATATATCATAATATAATGTAATATTAATATAATATAATATAATAAATAAATATATAATATAATATAATAAATAAATATAATATAATATAATATAGTATAATATAATATAATATAATATAATATAATATAATATAATATAATATAATATAATATAATATGATACAATGTAATATAAATTCTTTCTTCCTTTTTAAGCCCCAGATTTTTTTGTAAGTTATGTATAATTAAAATATTATAGGTCATATTTATATAATTTCTTTTTGTATGTATGTTTACAAAGCAATAGTGAAATATATCCATAAAATTTTATTTTCTATAAATTGAATTTATGGATGACTATACAGTTGTTTCGAGTACTGCCAAATAAATATAATTTGCTGTAATTTCAAATAATTTTTTTATATATTTATTCTGAAA